GGAATTCATGCCAATAATTTGCCATCTCTGCGCCTCTGTTTTCCTTCTTCTTGCCATTCTTACTTTAAATGATTTTGCATTCAGAAATTCGGGTCTTAAAAACGGGTTTGATGCACGAGAAAATAGTGCATATTGGACGTGAAGAAGGGAGCAAGTTGCACGTGGGGAAAAAAACGCGCCTGATTTAAATGTCACACCTGAATGCTCACATCCTTTTAATTATGTTTGAAATTATGAACATTGCTCAACATCATGAAAATTAAACCTTATTTTCAATGAGCAATCCTGAAAAATATTTGGGGGTGCTTAACTTTTTTCCAGGTGTATATATATTTCTAAACTAAATTAATACTTTTTTGACACCTAAATTTGATAGATTCTGTTAGGCTTACCAAGAATGTCTACTCGAGTGCAAAAACTGCCTTGATTTTGTGTGAATACTTAACAGTTTTTTGTATATTTTTTACTTATTGTTATATATGTTTTAACAAAAATAACTAGAATGTAAAAATTAGAAACTTCTTAGGTGAGGTAACAAAACTTAAATGAAAGTTTAAATTTCACTAGCTCAGTTAATAGATAAGGCAAACATGCAGTGTGTGCATGACTGTAACCTGATCATTTGTTTACCCTAAGATCTACCAGAACCTTCTAAACAGGCCCTCGCTGTATTTTTTTTTTTTCATGCATAGAAGGGTTCAAAGGTATAGCAATAAAACCATAAAATTAAAAGAAAACAGATGTGAAAAGGTTAGAAGCTATCAAGATAAATAACTGTAATTATCTGTTACAATCTGCGGTCACTTCATATTTTTCTATTTTTCTTTCACTGTAAACTGATGTTTTTGCTACAGTTAGTATTAATGTAGCTAAAAGATGAAATAAAATATAAAGTTTTATGCAGAAAAATTTATAATGTTCATTTAGGAGGTTCTAAAGGTTATGCAAATGAAGTGTGAAATTGTAAGACAAAAAAAGCTTCAAAATCACCTTTCCCTCGAACTGACTCAGTTGATAGCTTCAGACAAGCCTTTAGTAAAAATACTGTATTATGAAATCTAACTGACATTTAAGATTTACTGAAATCTAGCCAAATTTTTTGAAGATACACTTAGTACATTCAGAGTTATAGTATTATTGTATTTAGGGTTGATTATTTATTCCCAAGCTACAATGGTTAAAAGTAATGTAAGTGTTAAGCACTCACAGTTTGTAAGGTGTGAAACGTGCAAGGAGTAGTTGCTGTTTTGGAAATACCGATGCTAGTAGTAAAGTTGTACAATTTGTATGTAGAGTTTATATACTGGAGGAGAAATTTGAGGCTGTCCTAAATAGGGCAGAGGCTAAGGATAAACAGAAGAGTAAACTGCAGGAAATGGCAACAGGTTTTAAAAAGGAAATTAAGCTTTTGAATTTGAAGGATACAGTGGCTAATAATGACTTTTGGGAAGTTAAAACAGTATTAATAGGGCTAGTAGTAGTGTATTTAATTATACTGAGCATGTTCTATTAAGTAACAGATTTCAGTCTTTAGCTTATGCAGATGATGAGCTAGAGGAAGGAAGTGTAACAAAAAGCAATAGACAGGAATGGGAAGGAAAAACATAAGGTTATTGTTATAGGAGATCCTTATAGATAGGATAATCTGTGGGGTAAATATGAAGAAAATAATTAAATTATATTATCTAGGAGTAGGCATAGAGGATATAACCAACAGAACAAGTGATATAATAAAGGATGCTAACAGTGATTTAGTCTTTGTAGTACATACAGTTTAGTTCAGAGAATCTAACAGTTAAGTACAAGGCATTTATAAAGGAATTCAAAGAAAAAGACTATAATAACATAATTCTGTCAGGGATACTACCAGGACTTAATTATTGGGACAAAATTATAAGTATGTTACTAGGGCTGAATGCTAGGCTTAGGTTAATTAGTAAAGATAAGCAAGCTAGTTGGTTAAATATGTGGGACCAGTTCAATGGTAAAAGGGGCTCGGAATGGATGGTTTACATTCAAATAAAGTAAGCATTGACTTATTTGCAAGGCGATTAATATAACTGTAATGGTAGATTTAAACTAGGACTAGACAGCGGTAAGGCCAGAATAATGAAGAAAAAATACAATGCAAATAAAAGCAGAAAGTAGGAACAGTGTACAAAGGTAGTTTTAATGGAAGGCTACTGTTATTATTGTAATGCTAGAAGTTGTAAGAAATAAAATAGATGATTTTAGAACACTGGTCACAATATTTTAGTTACTTTTATAATAATAAA